TTGAAGTCAAAGGAGCCTATGATAACGTTACTCATGAAGCCGTTTTTGCCGCACTTCAAGAGATTGGAGTGGGTGGCCGAATGTTTAAGTGGATACGAAGCTATCTCCAAATGCGATCTTTTTTTTTTGTGAGTATGGAGGCCGGGAACACCTTTGCAGATTTTAGTTGTCATGGCGTCCCTCAGGGTGTACTGAGCCCCCCTCAGGGTGGTGTACGGAGCCCCGTGCTATTAAATCTAACACTGATCGCTCTCCATACGCAGCTACCAAACAACATTTGTATATCAACATACGCAGATGACATCTACATCTGGACATCTGCGGTAACGCGCCTGCAGTTACGAGCGAGAATCCAGAGAGCTGCTACTGCAACTGCTTTATACCTCCACAATCATGGCCTGGAAATTTCCTCCGGAAAGGGCGCTCTTCGGGCATCTACGCGCAAACCCATTGCGAATTACAGTGTCTAAATTAATGGTCAAAAGATACCATATTGTCAATCTCACGAATTTCTGGGTGTCATAATCGACAGAGACATATCATGGAGCCCTCATGTGCCGTATTTGAAAAAGTGATTGATGGGCATATGCCATAGTTTCAAGTTCCCACTGGAAATACTTGGGGAATGAAGCCCAATGCTATGTTACGACTGTACATGGTGCTTTTACTTGGCTTTCTACGATACAGTCTGCTGGCATTATGAAACGCCAGTGAAACAGGTCGACGCATGATACAAAGCCTTCAAGCACAGGCACTTCGAATCTGTCTATAGGTCTGCCTCAGGGTGCCTCAACAGTGGCGATAGCTTTAACCAAAGACCACCTCGTGCAGACTGATATTGAAATTGAAGCTCTGAGAACACACACAAGGCATGTGGCCCGGACTCCCCGTCACCATCCAGCCTCTCTACCAGCGGATAGGCCTTACACTTCCTTTTGCCCAACAGTAACTGCAGATGTTGACTCTCTACCAACTGGTTTTACGCCCGCGGCGAGACCTTCAGTTCCTCCATGGTGCCTCAAACAGCCAGTCATCAACCAGACAATACGAGGGATCCATAAAAAATGAGATTTGTCAATACTAGTCCTCAAGCAGCTCGCTTCACTTATGCTGTACGAGCAGTAACAAGACTGCACCCACGTCCACACCGACGGCTTCATCCTGCCAAACAGCTCAACAGCGGCGGTCGTTATTCCAACGCACGCCACAACCATCAAATTCAGGACAGTTCATGCAACTGCATCAACGGCAGCAGACTTTGCAGCGCTTCGCGTTGCGTTGAGTTTCATTTACGACCAAAGCACGCAACGATCAACGATCTTCTGTGACTGCAAGGCGGCCCTGCAGTCACTTCTGTCAAATCTATGCAGTGGTCCGCACGAGCAGTTGGTATTTGAGACAGCAGAAATGCTACACCATGTAACAGAGAAAGGGCACTACGTTATGTTTCAGTGGTTTTCAAGCCACTGTGGAATTGTTGGTAATGCGCTGAACAGGCTGATCAAGCTGCCCGTTCAGCGCATACACAAGACAACGATTAGTCAATACCCCTCTCTAGGACAGACGCTGCTAGAAGGCTCCGCATGCTTGCTCGCCAACGTTCTATGTCACTTTGGAATGAGCCTCTTTTTACGCATGCAAGATTACAATCCCTTGATCATACGTTAAGCTTGCAGCTTCTAACAAAACTTCGACGAGGTGATGCTACTGCTCTGCCCAGAATATGGTTGGGAGTCGCGTTTACCTGTGCATACGCATTCCGCATAAGGATGGCCGACACCACCGCCTGTGCACACTGTGGAGACGAAGAGACAATTCGACACGTCCTGTGTGAGTGCCAGAATATAACCTAGAAAGACAATACCTTTCTAATACACTAAACAAGTTAGATGACCAGCCGCTGTCAGATGAAAGCATACTGTGCCATCGTCATGACGCATCATCACAGAAGAAGGCCGTGCAAGTGCTACTGGGCTTCTCGCGAACTACTGGCCTGTCGGAACACCTCTGAGTGGACTGATTTTGAGTGCGCAGGTGTGTCAGTGTTTTTCTCTTGTTTATTTTAACTATCCCTCTCTTTCAACCCCCTATTCCCCAACCCCAGTGTAGGGTAGCATACTGGATACTATCATCTAATTTACCTCTCTACCTTCTCTTTTTCTCGTTTCTCTCGCTTTGCGACGTACCGGACACCTTGGCACACTTGCTTCTTGCATGCCAGTGTATTGCCAGACGTATTCTGCAACAACACGCGACTGATAATGAAGCAGGATGGACGAACGAAGACCTAACCGAAACGTGGGAGGCAAAGCTCGCCCTCGAGGACCTAGAAGACCAACAACAACTCGTCACCAGGGCCAAGAGAGCAGTAGAAGCCAGAGGGTTCCTGGACTAAGGAGCACTTACACCTTAGGGTGACACCGGGCATTGCTCGGGGCACTGTTTCAAAATAAACGTTTACTTCTCTCTCACTCTGCTAAGCACGCGTACGAAGGCCTAATTACAGATGGAGGAATAAAGAAAGAAAGAAAGAAAGAAAGAAAGGGAGAAAGAAAGAAAGAAAAAAGAAAGAAAGAAAGAAAGAAAGAAAGAAAGAAAGAAAAAAGCACCAGAACGCCTCTGTCGCCTACCCAGCTTTCCATGATACTTCCTATGTATCTTTTCTCTCGCGATTTCTTTGCACTGTATAACCCCACTCCTGCAATAGCCTTTTACAGGGCTTCAGTGTATAAATTAAACAAATAAAATGAATGAGCTGTGCCAGAAACACAAAAGGTGAGGTCTCCCCTATGATGACGTCTCTTCAGGAGTTGCCATTCTGCATAGTATATTTATCGACGTTTTCTGCAAGGACAATGCTGCCATCGAATTCTTCGCAGGATATCCAATTACAGATGTTCAGACAGGTTTTCTTGTGTCCGATAAAAAAGAATAAACAACGTCGTCGACTTACATCAGGATATAGAACTCTCGGAGGATAGGTAACACAATTCGTATGCGCAATCGGCACGTTTGCGCATTCCTAATGGGGCGATATGAAGAATTCAGGCACTTTGCCAGATTTCCCAGCTACACTGACGCCTCAGTAGCGGAACGTTCACTCAACCCTATGAGAAATGATGTCCACTCATTTTCACTTAATTACTACGTTGTCCCAAGACATGTCGCTTGCACTGCACATCTTGCACATCTAGAAGCACGCCCTTTTCCGAAATATGCTCTAATAAAAGGGATGTTGCCACTGACAAAAAAAACACCCTAGAAAATCAGAAGCAGCTGGCGCAGGCTCAAGAAACAAGTCGTTGTTCACATTGCAGCAAAAAAAAAGAAGATTGTCAAGACAGGTGGAAGACGAAGCAGGCAATAATGGAATGCTGAGCTTTGAATAACGCATGCTGGTCGTTCCGAATGGGTATTTTGGGCAGTGGTAAAAAAAAAGTGCCAAGCCCCTCAACGTCAGCATATGCTCCACGTACACAAAGCTGTGCGCCAAGTACAGGTGAAAAGCAAAAAAAAAAATAGAGAGAGAAAAGGGGGTCCTTAAGCATACATATTACCGCTCTTGTTTTTCAATAAAGCTTGTCGAATCTTTTGTTTCGTTTCTTCACTGCATCGCACTGTGACCGAAAACACTATGATTCGCCGAGTTTCGTTTGTAGAGCACATTATTTGTATGTATGCCAAATATTCTCTCTCCTCACCTTGTTGTCGTGCTCACTTTCACTGAAGCTGGGCTTCAGAGCAAGATGCGCGCCTAGCTCAATGAACAGATCGCGTCTCAAGAGAACGAGGCTAACGTTCCGGAAGTAAGCTGTTTTGCCTTCGAAAGACGCGGAGAGAGACGGGCATCATTCTAGAACGATCATGAAACGGGGAGTCTCGGAGATTGGAGTGACCGATTCCGGCTTCCACGGTTGATCTTTACAGACAGTCGCCGAGGAATACTGCACGTCGCCAAGGCCTCTGGTTCCTCTATGTTATGCCGAAGCCAGTTGTATTGTCTACCGAAACCATCTCCGAGCTATTCGATAAGTCTCAGGGCGAGGGGAGGCGACGTCCGGCTATTTGCCTCAACTCGCTCAAATCTGCGCAGCGTAGTAATGCTATTGGTGTCGAACGACGGATGGACAGCCGTGTCTTTTCTCATGAGCCAGAGTCACGGAAAGGAATACTTGTGACTGGCTAGTGTCTGTCTGTCTGTCTGTCTGTCTGTCTGTCCTGTCTGTCTGTCTGTCTGTCTGTCTTCTGATGATGATTGTTATGATTATTTAGCACAAAAAGGCAAGCACACCCAGTCGAAATATCCGCGTGAATGGTGCCGTGAATTCCACCGCCGATGTGCTAACACCGGTTGCTGCTTGCCCACGCTGCACGGTACAGCTGACACATGCATACAGTAACGGTTGCACACGCGTGTCGCGCAGCGAGGGAACGGGCTGCGTGAGGCGCCCAGGCTCTTGTGCAAATTGCATAGCGGTCGAGGAGTCTAGTGCCTTCATGCGAAGATTAACAGGCGTGCACTGACCTGCGTGCAACGAGACGTCCATGATATATTATTGTGATTAGCTCGTATGGGCCTATTCGTTTCGCCAGCTCTATACCCCCAAAATAAGAACCGCGACGCCCCTCTTCAATCGTAAGGACGGATTGTGGGTCCTGAGGTCGCGCAAGCTAGAAAGGTACATCAAGTGTTCGCACACATGATCATTTCGATGGCGTTTTTTGAGCGAAACGAGATAGAGTCTTCAAGCGCTGCCGTTTCTGAGAAGTAAATGCAAGATGCCACAGGCATGAACATTCGTGTAAACTTGTAGTGTATTGTTCAATCTCATGGCAGGCATTACAAACAACAGGACAGACGAAAGAACGCATAATTCAAGACACTGCTATGTAGCGTGTTAGTGTAACGTTTACGTGGAATGGCTATCGTGAAAACAAACAAACAAATAGAGAAAGAAAATGCTTGTCCTGAAGAACGCCTTTATGCACAATATTCGCAGGTGCGACGTCCGGAGTTTCTCAGTTTCTCCCTCCAAAGCTGGACATCGACACTGCCTACATCGACATTCCGGCCAACAGCACTTTGCGGATAACATGCTACGGCAGGTACCCGCTGGCCTGGTCCCTCCCACCGGTTGGAGTAAGTACCATACCATACGTAGCGCCCTATAGGAACTGTTTGTCTGCCTGAACTGGTTGTCTGCTGTTATAAAGCGACCGCATCACTTATTCGACCTTCCGGAAGTGTTGCCCCTTCTCGAGACACTTACGATAATTGCGTTTGTGGCCGTTAAAGGAATACGCACTTTATGGCCGTGCCTCGACATTCAAAGCGGTGAAATGAAATTACAGCTTTACCAAGCCTAACGACACGTATACATATTTACATATATTGTTTCCCCTTTACTTACATTCAGCACGCGATTGAGTCGCAATGTGTTTACGAATTTTTGGCGTGTTCATGCCTTGACACCGTTATCGCGTGTGGTCTGGAAGCATCTTCATCTCGTTGCCATCGAAAACTTCATTGTCGTTATGGGGAGGCTGTGAGGTGAAATAAATCCAGATTATAAACGAAATATATATATATATATATATATATATATATATATATATATATATATATATATATATATATATATATATATATATATATATTTAAGGAATACTGCAGACAGTTTTTCACCATCCTAGCAGAAGAGGGTTACATAAGGTTCCTAACACAGAGGTCAAAAGTAGAAGTCGGAGCGTGCACGCAGTCGTAAGGCAGTGAATTCCAGTCTTCAATGGTTCTTACAAAAAAGGAGTTCTTGAATGTGTTATCTTTGGGAGCATATGGTCTTACAGTTTTTGAATGATTTAACCTTACTGAGCGTGGAGGAGGTGCCAGAATGCACAATTCTTTATTTAAACCAGATTCATTGTTGTATAGTTTATAAAAGAAGACTAACCTTGGAATTCTTCGCCTACATTCCAGTGGTTCCAGCTCACATTTATTTAACATTTCAGAAGCGGAGGAGAGGCGCCTAAAGTCTGAAAAAATGAACCGTGCGCTTAGGCGCTGAATCCTTTCCACTTTATCTATGTCTTTCTTTAACTATGGGTCCCACGCAAGGGATGCGTATTCTAGCACTGGTCGAACTAGGGTTTTATAGGCTGCATGTTTAACTTTCCAATCACGTGACCTCAGCTTCCTTCTTAAGAAGCATAGCTTCTTGTAGGCCTTGGCGCAAACGTTGTCGATGTGAGCGTCCCAGCTAAGTTTCGTATTAATGGTCAATCCCAAATATTTTACGGTATTAACAAATTCAATACTTTGGTTACGGACATGGTATTTATATTTAAGAGGAGTTTTCTTGTGTGTTACTGTAAGAGCGCAAGTTTTTGAGTAGTTAACAACCATCTGCCACCTCTCACACCAGTCAGCAATTTTGCACAGGTTGTCGTTAAGCAATGATTGATGCAAGGGGCTACTTACAGTTGTATAAATAACACAGTCGTCTGCAAACATTTTCACAGTCACTCCCGCGTCAATATCATCGCAAATATTATTCACATAGATCAAGAACAAGAGTGGTCCCAAGACCGACCCCTGGGGCACTCCTGATCAAGGTTTTGTGATTGGCAGCCGCTAATTTCTACAAACTGTGTTCTGTTTTTCAGATACGCAGAAATCCAGTCCACGAGGCGGGGAGAAATCCCTGCACGCTGCATTTTTCGTATCAGTAAAGAGTGCGGTACCCTATCAAAGGCTTTTGATAGGTCCAAAAATATTTCATCTATTTGTTTTTTGTCATTGATAGCATCAGCGAAGTCGTGTATGACTGACACGAGCTGGGTCGTCGTTGATAACTTTTTTCTAAACCCATGCTGGAAGCTGCCTAATATGTTTTTTGATTCTAAGAACGAAGTTATCTGGCTGGAGAGGATGTGCTCAAGTAGTTTACAGCAACTACTGATTAATGATATTGGCCTGAAGTTCGAAGCGAGCAGTTTGCTTCTATCCTTGTGGACTGGGACAATTTTTCCACACAACCAATCAGAAGGTAGGCATCCGTCATCCAAAGATTTATTGAACAAAATATATTAGTAATGTCAAATAATGTCCGCATAACGCTTCAAAAAGGCATCAGGGATACCGTCAGGGCCAGAAGACTTCTTGGTATCAAGTTTTAGAAGAAGAAGGCGAATACCATTTACATTTAAATCTATATCCGGCATTACGTTGGGCGAGAGAGGAGATGGTTCCGTCGGATTATTGGTTAAACTCTGTTGACTGAACACACTGTGGAATGTTCTGTTTAGCTCATTAGCAATTGCGTAATGATCAGTAACTGCGCGGCCGTCAACGCGAAGCTGTTCAACAGATTTTTCGTTTCCGGACAAGTATCCCCAAAACTTTTGCGGAGCGTTTTCCATGAAGTTAAGAAGTGTCGTTCCAAAAAAATAATTTCGAGCGGTGCGTATTTTGTGCTTCAGTGTTACTGAGAGGGAAGATATGGCCTGGTTATCTTTACGCGCTGCTTTACGTTTTCTTGATATTGTTCTTTTCGATTGTATTATATCGCGTGTTATCCAGGGGTTGCACCGTTTCTTTTTCTGAAATTTCGGTACGAATTTATCAAGACACGATGCAGTAACGTTTTTTAACGTATTCCACAGACTTAATACGTCTCCTCCTGCCTCAAAGGCACCGTAGCACAAACCAAGTTTATTTATAATAGCTTCGTCATCCGCAGCAGAAAAATTAAGGACACTCTTGCTCGCAGAATTCTTTTTGTCAGGGCAGAAATTCGCGGTAAGTAAAACCAACTTGTGATCAGAGATTCCATCATAAACACTGGCCTTAGTGTCATCTGGAAAGTTTCCAACAAATAGAAGATCTAGTACACTTTCAGTGCTTCGAGCAACTCTGGTAGCATCTTTAACAAGTTGAACGAGATTAAAGTTCAGCATCAATTCAAGCAACAAGTCACAGTTCACTGTACGATATAGTAGAACGTTGATACAGAGTTCTGTTACGTCCACCGGTATGAGCTGAAGCTCACAGAAATGTATAGCCACTTTCTTGAATGACCTCCGCAAAGCCATTGGGTTCAGTAGAATGTAACGTTGGGCTTTTCGAATGCTTGCATGATTGACGCAACGTTGTAGAGGCGGAGACGAAACGAACGCAGAGTACACAGGACCAGCGTTTACTTATGCGCATGTCTGCTATGTCCGGTATCTTTTTTTCGGTTTTGTTCTTGCGAAATGAATATTTCAGTTGCACGCTCGTTCGGTGCACTTTGTGTTCCTTTCGTCTTCGTAACTGTAGCGCTGCGTCAATAATGCACCATGGTGTAGCTTTAACGATAGTTGGAAGACGCCGTTTAGAAATGAAAACTTTTTTTACACGCTTGTACGAATGGAAAACGGAACAACAAAGTATTATTTGAGTTAATCTAATAATTGAGAAATCATTGGCGCAGGCAGGAGAGAAGAGAGGGGGAGGAGGAGAAGAATAAAAAAAGTTATATGCCGCTGCACGGAATGCAAATTTACTTGCTGACTTTTGTCAATTCCTCAGTGCTCAGATTGTTCCGAGTTTGAAGACCTGTTCGTAGTGCTTAGTTGCGCTCGAGATCTCGTGTGTTTCTGAGTCACTGAAGCTGTTCTATTTTATCTGTTTTGCTGTGGAGAGGTTGAAATCCACATCACCTCGGCTACTCCACATTGCCGCATGGTTTCGCGGGGTAGAACAATGCGTGAAAAAGGACAAGGAAGTTAGGACCGAGCCACTCTTTGGCCTAGCTCTACAAGCCTGTCCTGGTGTGCGAAACCATGCGGCAATATAAATAGGTTCTACAGCGAAATTAACAATAGTGAATGGTGCCCAAAATGAACAATCATAAAAAAACGTAATAGCATACAGAGACCAGTTGAAATGAAATGTCAATTTACAGTTTGCTTGTAGTGGCTTGTGGGCTTCCACGCCGAGAAGGTGCGTAATCCTCAATACGCTTGGCGTGCGAGACAAAGCCGTGACAGCGCTGATGTGAAGGATTCGTCAATGCCCAACAAATGCGCATTACAGCGCGTTGATAAACGTGTAACGGGCATCCGCGGATTCCTTGTACACTGCGCGCACAGATCTCGGGGTTTGTTTACGTTGTCTAGAAAAACCTCAAAGCTATGGCTATGCCACGGAATTCTTCCTTGGTGCATTAAGTTCACCACCTTCTTTACGAAGGGTGTGCTTAAGACCCATACACCATAAACAAATTACATAATTAGGATTTCATTATGACTGGACTTACAAAAATAAAAAAAACGCCGGTGTATGGGAGCAAACGAAACAGTAATCCGTTCCAGCGTCCTCGGAATCATATTAAAAAAACCGTGGTTACAAAAGGCGGTTAAAATCCAAAGCCTTCTCGTTTTATTCATTGTTATTTAGCTGTGAGATATCAAAGCATTGATTTCCATAATGTCAGCTATCTTGTACCAGTAAGCAGCAATGAAAAAAACCACATCTTTTGACCAAAATGGCAAGAAGCATTAGAACGTCGTCAAGCACTGATCGTTCTACGTATATACAAAGAAGGAAGTGACGATGCCCGTGCCTATATAAGAATGTATATGTCTTTATTGCTTGTTGCTTCAAAGGCCCAGAACCAGTGAGGCCAACGGTGATAGTCACTGCATCATGGCTGTGGACGTGGAGCCTTCTGCGGCTATGTCCGACCATAGACCACTTTTGGCAAGCTCGTCGCGGAAACGAAGCACCAGTTCGAGCACCAGCGAGGACACAGAACTGTACTCGGCCACTGGCGACGACTCGTCGGATGACGACTTCGAGACCGTGAGAAGCAGGAAGGCCAAAAGAAGAAGTATCAAGTCGTCTTCACCAGCAGGGACATTAACGTCTCAGTCAAAAGGAGAATGCTGGCCGCACACCATCCTCTTCATGCCCGAGGACTCCACCATCAGCCTTCGAGCAGTAAACAGGCAAGCTCTCTCTATGTACTTTGAGGGGGTAGCACCAAACGACATTAAGGATATCCGGGTGAACACGCGGAAGAATATTCTAGCTGTGGACACAATGACTGCCAGCGCCATAGACAAGCTTCGCAGAGTATCAGATTTGGGAGGCATCAA